TGACACAGTTTTCAAAATGTCCTCACTTACACGATCTTCTTTAAGCCTCCCAATACTAGAGGGAGCACAATCCAAGCCCTCTGGTTCCTGACCCACTGGGCATCCTGTCACCACACTGTCATTATCCTCCTGGGTGCTGTGCTGCCAGGAACTTTTCCAAACCGTGAAATCGGGCATAGGCCCCGCTGCTTAGCCACATTTGGTTTAAAACAGACACAGCCATGCATTTGTCAGGTCACTGACAAACAGAAAACAGAATCCTTAATGGACATAGTCTATTGACATGGTCTCATCACATTAATACGACAACCCAAGGAGAAAAGTCATGCTATACTCATTTTTAAAATGTTAAAACTGAGGCTCAGAGAAGTTAGTTTACTTGTCCAAGGACGCACAGAGGGTGGAAAGTAGATTTAAAAGCGGGTTCATTTGTCTCCACAGTTTCTGATCATGGTCTAGATCCCGGCTAGTCAAAGCGTAGGCCAGACACCAGCACATTGGCACCACCTGGGAGTTTGTTAAAAACGCAAATCTCAGATCCCCCTCTGGACCTACTGAATTGGGGTCTGCATGCTAAAAGGATACCTAGGTGAGTCCTCTGCACACTGTAATTGAAGGACCACTGATCCTTATTGCTGCTCAGTGTAGACCTAGCCATGATACACTGAAGAGCAAAATCTGTAAATAAACGCATCCATCCATCCATATACTGTGCTGGGTTTTAAAATTTACTTCTAGGGGCCAGCCCCATGCCTCGTGGTTAAGTTCGGCATGCTCCACTTTGGCAACTCTGGTTCGGTTCCCAGGCGCAGACCTACACCACTCTTCTGTCAGCGGCCAAGCTGTGGCAGGGGTCCACACAGAAAAAAGGAAGATTGGCAACAGATGTTAGCTCAGGTTGATTCTTCCTCAGCAAAAAAAATCATATATATATATGTATGTATATATATACATATGCTTCTAAACATTTTACAGGCATACCTTGAAGATATTACAAGTTTGGTTCCAGAACACCAAAATAAAGCAAATATCACAATCATGTGAGTCACATGAAGTTTTTGGTTTTCCACTGCATATAAAAGTTATATTTACACTATACTGTAGTCTATTAAAGTGTGCAACAGCGTTATGTCCAAAAAAAGATGTATATACCTTAATGTTAAAACGCTTTATTGCTAAAAAATGCTAACCATCACCTGAGCCTTCAACAAGTCATAATCTTTTTGCTGGTGGAGGGTCTTGTAAAAAACGCAATATCTGCAAAGTGTGATAAAGTGAAGCACAATAAAATGAGGCGTGCCTGCTCTTTAAGAGGAAATTTAAAGATTTAAAAGCAGGTGGCATGAGTCCCAGTGTTAGATTAGGCATTGAGTTAATTGAATTAGCAGATACACAGTACATACTAGGATGGATATGATCTGCATACATCACAATTGTAGCATACGCCCATGCCAGGATTTATATCAGAATTTCTTATTCTTGAACTTTATTCATTGGTATATATATATTTTTTACATCAAACACAGAAAATTTTATCCTTACACCAAACTACTTAACAGAACAAACACATGTGTCCAGTGCTGTATAAACAGTTACGAAGCACTGGAAGAATATTTAAGGTACAGTTCTTGCCCTGGAGTAATTTTCAGCTTTGAGGTCTCTTGAAAAGAACTTTAGCATAGTTCTCCATTCTAATATATTGGCTAAACTGATTTTAATTTTAAACTGAATTTAATTTAATTATACTGAATTTTTTTCCCCCAAGCATTGTTTTCATTAAAGAAGTAATTTTCTGTTAAGAATATAGCCTTAACGCTACCTTTCTCTTCTTTTCATAAGACTCATAAAAGCAGCAAGAGCAGCAGCAGCTCCCTGTATACATATTTTAACTACACTGATTTTCCCAACATATTTTAAAAAGGTAACGGATAATTCATTCTTTTTTTAATGTTTTTAATTTAAATTTTTTTTTCTTTAAAGATTGGCACCTGAGCTAACAACTGTTGCCATCTTCTTTTTTTTTTTTTTTCTGCTTTATCTCCCCAAACCCCTCTGTACATAGTTGTATATCTTAGTTGCAGCTCCTTCTAGTTGTGGGATGTGGGACACCACCTGAACATGGCCTGACGAGCGGTGCCATGTCCCCGCCCAGGATCCGAACCCTGGGCCGCCGCAGCGGAGCGCATGAACTTAACCACTGAGCCATGGAGCCGGCCCCTAAATTTTTATTTTTATAACAGTAACATTGGATTATAACATTATATCACTTTCAGATGTACATCATAATATATTTCAAATTCTGTGTGGATTACATCATGTTCACCACCCAGAGACTAATTACCATCCATCACCACACACATGTGCCTAATCACCCCTTTCTCCCTCCTCCCTCCCCACTTTCCTTCTGGTAACCACCACTCCAGTCTCTGTTGCTATGCGTTTGTCATTGTTTTTATCTTCTACTTATGAGTGAGATCATATGGTATTTGACCTTCTCCCTCTGACTTATTTCACTTAGCATAATACCCTCAAGGTCTTGGATAATTCATTCTTGAGGCCAGAGGTGTAGCCATAACACTTAGACTTGAATAGCACATTACCTGTACAATTTATTCTGATTTGTAACTATTTCTTGGACCAGAGATTGAGTCCACGTTATTGCCAACTCTGAACAAATGGCAGTAGCAGCCTATACACTGCCTTGTGAAGGATTCTAAGATATGTCCAGTAGGAACATTCTGGATTCAACTAGCAATGTCTGCGATGGGTGTGGAAAGGGGCCGTTGAGAGCATCCGCCCCAGGCTTTGCCATCCCTGCACTTGGACGCTGCCCCCAGCTCAAAAAGCTGATGTCTTTACCATTCCTCACCCGTCCCCTGCTCTTTGCTTCCCCTGGGCGTTTCCTCCCACCGCGTGCACTGCCTAGACTGCTCTACCCTCTGCGCCTGGACCAGGATCCCACGCCCGCCAAGCAGCCTTCCCCAGCTTCTCCAGAACCAAATGATAATTCTATTGCTGCCAGTCTGGAAAAAGACAAACAACAACAACAACAAAAGCAGCAAAAGACTTGTTTCCAGATCATGTGCTTGGACTTCAGCTCAGGGCCTTGAAGATGCTTCTCTCGCACCTCCCAGGGGCCCGGGGGATTCTCAGTACAGACCTGTTTTGATCAAAATCAACTACTGCCACTTCCTCTGTGAATCACACCTATCCTGGGTGTGCAGGTGTCTCTGCCGTTTTAGGCGTTTTATCTCCCTGCTGGTGAGTCCGCCCAGCGAGTTCTCTTCTGAGTTTCTCCTCCGTGTTCAAATTCCTATTACGCTCCCTCTGGCTCTGTAACCACACCCAATACCAAAATGAAGCCAGGCTGGCTGGATAAAAAGATTTGGGATGAATTATGCTTTTTTCTGATTATTCTCTTTTGATTTGGTTCTCAGAGGAATCAGTGTGCGAGAAGGGAGTTAAAAAAATACGATTAAATTTAGAAGCAGTCAGATTAGGCAATAATACGGCTGTGGACCCCGTCACCGCTCTCACTTTCTTATCAACTCCTCTCCCGCGGGCACTTATTAAATATACAGATTCCGGAAGGAGAGCAGGGTAAGGCGAAGAGCTAAGAAGACTGTTAAGGAAGGACTGAGAGGATGAAACGAGTAAACAGTAACCTCCGGAGCTGGCTGTGTCAGAATCGCCCCTTAAAAACTGTACACACCCAGGGTCCACCCCAGGCTCCCCAATCAGAGTCAAGCGTCTGCATTTCTAACCAAGCACTAAGGACGAACCTCCTACACAGTCAGGATCGGAAGCCCTGTGGTAGATTCTTTGACGGGGTGCCTCCCTGGCAACGTGGTGGAGGAAGATAGGAGAGAGCAAAGCGGTGGGATAATGCAGCTGGAGGCTGCCTTGCAACTGGTCAAGGGAAGCGTTAGAAGTGAGCAGGGACCCAGACTACGGAGCACAGCATTGTGGTTAGACTGGAAATAGTAAAGAAATTTTAACACCAGTCTTTGTGAAACCAAACGCGTTTTCTCTCTTGCGAGTTCTTACAGAGTAGGAGCTGGATCCCTGGATGAAATATGAAAAGTATAGGCTTTGTTTCACGGGCACTATTTCTTAGTAGTTTTGCAACCGCTGAGTTTTTCTGTGGGAACTTGAAGCCTGTTTTTTCAGATTCTGCCCTGACACCTTCCAAAAGGAAGTTAATCTTTTTTTTTTTTTTTTTTTTTTTGGTGAGGAAGATTGGCCCTGGGCTAACAGCTGTTGCCAATCTTCCTCTTTTTCCTTGAGGAAGATTGTTGCTGGGCTAACATGTGAGCCAGTCTTCCTCTACTTTATATGTGGGACTCCTGCTACAACATGGCAGTGTGTAAGTCCCTGCCCAGAATCCCCACCTGCAAACCCTGGGCCGCTGAAGCGGAGAGCGTCAACTTACCTACTATGCCACCAGGCCAACCCCAATCATTTTTAAAAGTAATCTAGGCGTCTGTTACAACTTTAGCTATCAGGAGACCCTGATAACTATGCAATGAATGCTGACATTAGCTAGAAGCATCAGTTTTAATAACCACAACTTTATGGAGAAGTAAAGCACTCTATGTCACAGAGTTTTCTTAAGGAGCAGTTGAGACTATGTCTGTGGAAAGCTTTGTAAAAATGATTATAATTACTATTAAATAGAAATGCAAAACAGACATTGTTCAGGATGGTTGTCTCGAGAATAGCAGAAAAATCATCTTGCTGATGAAAAGGAAGAGAGAGATGGGTGAAAGGGGCAAAGACAAACAAACAAAAAACCGGAAAACCTGAGAAAAGAACCCTCATCCCCTTTCCCTTATATGTTTAATTCCCAAATATTGGCAATAGTCTGGAATGTCATGCTAAATTAGTTGAACGTGACCCCTAATCAGAGAGGTGTATGAAATGTCTTCTCAAGTGGTATCTACATTACATCCAACTGGTAAGTTAGGTACTTAACATTTTTTTTGGTTTTGTTTTCGCAGGCAGTGCCCTTTTGAACTTAGCCTTAAAAATGAATCCAGTTGTTGCTCAGCCAGGCTATGGTGCGCGGGGCGCGACGGCTAGTAGCTGGCAAACCGACGTGTTTGACTGCTGCGACGACCTAGGGGTTTGTAAGTGCCGTGGGTCACTGCTCTCCCGGGGACTACAGTAACTCAGGTCACCGACATCATAAAAGTCGTTTACTGACCCTCTCAGCGAGTTCTGCATTTTATTCTGTAACTCGGAAGTCACAAGCCCGAGGCCCATGGGCGGATTTAGCCACTGGATGTGTTTTGTTGGTCCTGCGCATAATGAACCCTTTCAATGTATTGTTTAAGATGGTAGGAAACATATAAAAGTCAGATTTCACATAAAAATCTAGCTTTCCAATCTAGATTTCCAACTTCTCTTGAACATTTGGAAAATCTGGGAAGATGAGTCCTTCTCCCGAGGCAGGGGTCTGAGTATTAGCTAGCGCCATGAAAAGGGTGTTCACCCCACAGCTTGCCATATTTATGTCCACCATTCACTGATATCTATTTTGTGTTTTTTCCAACCTATTTCACTCATTTATTTTACCTGCCTGGCCTTGAGTTTGTGATCCTTGTCTAGGTCAATCACCTCTTCTTAAATTTTCACCTCTTTCGTATCCCCATGTTCTTGACATGCTTTTCCAGTTTATCTTCCATGTACCTCTGCTTTTTCCTCCAGTGCTGACTCTGCGTTTTCCAGCTTTCAATGATATTCTTGTGTCTCTTGGGATTGTTCCATTTCAGGAAGCTTTGCGGGTTTTTAGTTTTACTGACTTGTAATTCTTTTAAACTATGAAACATATTTTTGTGTGAGAAAATTTTCCTTATTTCAGAGTCTATTGCCATATGAGTTGAAGACATTTTCTTTCCTTTTCTTTCCTTTTCTTTTCTTTTTCTTTCTTTTCTTTCTTTCTTTCTTTCTTTCTTTTTTTTTTTTTTTTGCTGAGGAAGATTCACCCTAAGCTAATATCCAATGCCAATCTTCCTCTTTTTGCATGTGAGCCCCTGCCACAGCATGGCCACTGACAGATGAGCAGTGTAGATCTGCACCCAGGAACTGGACCTGGGCGCTGAAATGGAACACACTGAACTTAACCACTAGGTCACGGGGCAGCCCTGAAGATATTTTCTGTGTGGCTGATCTGTCCACTGTCTTTGGGAAACAGCCTACCCTTTTGTGTATAATGGAAGTTCCAAGTTCATTGGAGATAGTCTTTTGCTTAAAACAATCAACCAAAAAACACAGACTTGGGGCCAGCCTTGTGGCCGAGTGGTGAAGTTCGTGTGCTCCACTTTGGCGGCCCAGGGTTTCTCTGGTTCGGATCCTAGGCGTGGACATGGCACCGCTCATCAAGCCATGCTGAGGCAGCGTCCCACATAGCACAACCAGAGGTACTCACAACTAGAGTATACAACTGTACTGGGGAGGAGGTGGGGCATGGTTTGGAGAGAGGAAGAAGAAGAAGAAAAAAAGATTGGCAATAGATGTTAGCTCAGGTGCCAATCTTAAAAAAAACAAAACAAAACACAGACTTTTGAGGCCCGCCCCCGTGGCATAGCGGTGAAGTTTGTGCACTCAGCTTCGGTGGCCCAGGGTTCATCAGTTCAGATCCCGGACATGGACCTACGCACCACTTATCAAGCCATGCTGTGGTAGGCGTCCCACATAGAAAGTAGAGGAAGATGGGCACGGAAGTTAGCTCAGGGCCAGTCTTCCTCAGCAAAAAGAGGAGGATTGGTAGCAGATGTTAGCTCAGGGCTAATCTTCCTAAAAAAAAACAAAAAACAAAAAAAAACAGACTTTCTTATCTTATCTAGGGTACAGCCACATGAAAACTCCACCCCAGAGCTTTTCAAAATAGACTTGTACTCAGAGCATATTTGAGAACTCTTTCCGTTTGTTGCTATTTTCTTAGGCCCCTTTTTGTCTTATACAGATTCCTTAAAGTGAAATTGCAGTAGGCTTTTAAGCTTTTGATGCCAATATCTCATAACTTCTACTTGCTTCCAGCTCCGTAACGATAACAGGGCTCTATTCTTTGCCCAAATGACCATCTAGAATCTATTCCCTATTGCTTTTCTCACTCCGGCCCTAATGGTTTCTCCACTGATCCTTTTCTGACCCCAAACACTCCACCATGGTTTTCAGAGGTCTCAGACATCCGGGGCCACAAACTTCCTGTGCAAGCATGACCCAAATGTAATCAAGGGCAGGGAAGAAAGATAATTTGAAAATGCTCAGATTGGCAAAGCAAGAGCTTTTGCAATTAAATCTGACCTAGTATAATGACATGCAGAGTTCCTCGATTCCTGGACAGTAGGCTCTAGAAGCAAGACATAAAGCCAGATGACCACGTTGTTTTCTCAGAGTGTCCCTTAAAGCCGTTTTCTGAGCGAGCATCTTTTTGAAAGCAGGCTGATTTAGTCGAAACTGTGATGACTTTGACTAATCCCTCTGTGTTGTCTCACCCTGCACCCAGGCCTCTGTGGGACTTTCTTTCCCCTGTGCCTCTCCTGTCAGATTGCCTCTGACATGGACGAATGCTGCCTGTGCGGAGGAAGTGTTGCCATGAGGACCCTGTATCGAACCCGATACGGCATCCCGGTGAGTCACCCAAGTGTCCGCTGAGAGGTGGCAGCCCAGACACCCCAAGGGCTTTCCTTCACTCTGACTGGATCTCCATGACTGCCCTCCTCACCTTCATGGCTTGACCCTAGTCCACTTGTTGTTAGCGCCATCAAGTCAATTCCAACTCCTAGTGACCCTGTGGACAGCAGAGCGGAACCCCGCCCAGTCTTTTTGCACCATCCTCTCAGCTTCTGGTGCTCTATCAGACAATGCTCCGCTGTTATTCACAGGGTTTTCATGGCCAGTTTTTTCAGGAGTGAGTGGCCAGGTCCTTCTTCCTAGTGTCTGGTCTGGAAGCTCCACTGAAACCTGTCTACCATGGGTGACTCTGCTGGTATTTGAAATCCTGGTGGCATAGCTTTCAGCATCACAGCAACACGCAGCCACCACAGTATGACAACCAACAGATGGGGGATGTGGTTCCCTGACCGGAAACAACCTGGGCCACAGGGGCGAGAACGCTGAATCTTGACCACTAGACCACCAGGGCTGGCCTTTTCTCCACTACCATCCTAATTTTTTTGGTGATTTACAGGGGCTATGCGGCTATCTATACTTTGGAATATATTAGTAATAAAATCTTTCATTATTGTGTCTCTGAAAAAGTTGCTGGAGGTGAGTAGGTAAGAGATGGAGGCCAGCACAGGGCCCTTAGCCTCTCCTGGCTTTACTCAGATTCAGGGAGAAGAGCCTGCAAATCTGCAAGGTTGGGGTGACAGTTTCTTAGAAAGCCTTGGGTAAAAATGGGTGTGTGGTGGATCCCCTCAGAGCTGGCACATCCGCCTCACGGGCGGAGTCCACTCACTCAGCAGGGATTCCTGAGTACATAGAACATGCAAGTACCATTCCAGACACTAGAGACACATCGGTGAACAAAGGAAATCAAAACCCATGTCTTCAGGAAGCTTATAGTCTTTTTTTTTTTTGAGACTTTTATTTTAACGTAATTTCAGACATAAAAGTTGCAAAAATGGTGCAGACTTCGTGAATACCCTTCACCCAGATTCCCCAAATACTAAAAATTGGCCACATTTGTTTTCCCTCTTTGCTTTCCTCTATCATCTATCCTATTTTTTTCTGAACCATCTAAGAGTAAATTACAAACTTGATGCCGTTGCCTCTATTTCACTGTGTATTTCTTAAAAACAAGGACGTTCTCTTATATAACCACAATTCAATTACCAAAAATCAAGAATTTAGCGTTAATACAATACTATTAGTTTATCCATGGATCTTATTTAAACTTCACCAATTAGCCCAATAATATTCTTTTTTTTTAAGATATTTTATTTTTATTTTTCCTTTTTCTCCCCAAAGCCCTCCAGTACATAACTGTATATTTTTAGTTGTGGGTCCTTCTAGTTGTGGCATGTGGGACGCCACCTCAGCGTGGTTTGATGAGAGGTGCCATGTCAGCGCCCAGGATCCGAACCGGTGAAACCCTGGGCCGCTGAAGCAGAGCACACGAACTTAACCGCTCGGCCACGGGGCCGGCCCCCCCCAATAATATTCTTTAAGTGAAAGAAAATCAATCTGGGATCACACATCGTGTTCAGTTGTCATGCTTCTTTAGCCCCCTATGATATGATCAGCTTCTCAGTCTTTCCTTGTCTTTTCTTCTTTTTTATGAATACAGATCGGTTATTTTGCAGACCATCCCTCAGTGCGATTTGTCAAATGGCTCCTCATGATTCGAGTTAGGGTAGATATTTCTTGGCAGAAACTCCACAGAAGCGATGCTGTGTTCGCCATGCATCATATCAGGGGGCACATGACATCAATTTATCCCATCATGGGTGATAGTAACTTTGATTACTTGGTTAAGATAGTGTGTGTGCCAGGATTCTCCAATATAAAGTTGCTATTTTCCCCTGTGTCATGACAAGGACCTTGCAGGGAGATGTAAATATCCTGTTCCTCCTTCACCCACTAGCTCTAGCATCCATTAAAAAGTCTTGCCTGAATCCGTCATTACTGTGATAGTTGTCTATGGTCAAGCTTACTCTCCAATGGGAGAAGATAGCTACCATATACCTAAGTGAAAGTATAATACACAGGAAGCTGATAAGTGCTAGAGAGAACAATAAAGCGAGGAAGAGAGGGTTGAAGGGTTCTAATCGTAAATAGGGTTATTAGGAACAACTTCAGTAAGAAAGCAAAGATCTCAAAGGATGAGAGGATGACCCATCCGGGGAAGGTCCAGGCAGAGGAAAGAGCTAGAGTCAAGGCCTTCAGATAGAGCTTACCTGGAATGTTCCAGAAAGAGCAACCAGCCAGAAAGGCAGGAACAGTGTGTGTGGGGGGGGGGGGGGGGAGAGGGGGCGAGGAGTAATAAAAGAAGATGATATCAAAGCATTAGTAAGAGTTAGAGCTTTCAGGGCCTTGCAGACTATTATAAGAACTTTAGTTTTTACTCTGAGTGAGCTGGGAAGCCATTGAAATGTTTTAAACAAAGAAGTGACATGATGGATTCTTGTTCCTGGAAACTTAGCCTCTGCCCCATTCGTTACCCCCATGTGACTGAGCACAAGTTATTAACCTTCCTAACCCCTGTCTCCCTTACTGATAAACTGATGGTAATGACACCTCCCCCAGGTGGTATAGTAAGAGTGAGATAATGTGTGGAAAGGACTTTTCACTGGGCCTGGCAGGTAATAAGTTCTCATTAAATAATTGTGATGATTTTGTTCTGATCTCAGAAGCTGACTCAACTGTTTTCCCAGGGCGGGGATGTGTTCAGGGGCCAGGTTTCATTTCTCCTGTGTGCTGGCTCAGCTATCAAACTTTGCTCCTCTTATAAGGCAGCATAACACACAAGGGCTCTTAACTTTGTGACCGGACCACGAACTTCCTGAAATTGTATGCAAAGTATCACGTGTATATAGTTATGTATACGGGTGTGAAGGTAAGATTCTCAAAGTGGTCCGTGACCTCAAAATGGTATAAAGGAAAGGGCGCCTAGCTGGGAGATAAAGGTTCTGGGAACAGCTCGGCAAATAGCTAACTTTTTGACTCTCTCATAAGTCATTGAGCGGCATCAGTTTTCTGATCTGTCATGAGGAAGTTGCGTAAGATGATTTCTAAGGTCACGGCTAGGTCTAGGGTTCTATGTTATAGTACGTTTCCCAGGCACACGTTAGATAAGTATGTTTACAGATAGTATATCTCTGTTCTTTCTCCTTAGAACAGACCTCTAAAATGGCTAGCAATTCCTTGGGCTGATTTGTGTAATTCAGGCTCTCTGCTTTGTTTCCCTTTTACATCTATGCAAACTTTGATGGGGCTGCTACAGTGCAGCCTCGCTGGTCTGCCCCTCCTTTCGTGGACACAGCCTAGAGAGCATCCCTTTGGCCAGGGTCGCAGCCTCTGCGGGAGAGAAGGAGAAAGAAAGGAAACAACCACCGATTGAACTGCTATGTGCCGGGGATGCTATTTTGACATCTCTTCGCCCTTTACTCCTTACAAACTCTTCATGGTACCGGGATTCATATCTCTACTTTGTAGATATGGAAACCAGAAAAAGAGAGAGGCTTAAGGTCAGAGAACGTGTAAATGCTGGAATTTGGACTCGCGTTTATTCTGACTAACTCCCAAGTCTGGTTGTTCCCGCTTTTCCATCTTGCCTTCCTGAGTATGTGTGCACTCAGCCATGTACCACAGTTCATTCCTTTATCAGCTCAGTCAGCGCTTCTGTAAATAGTGCTCTGAACGAGACTTCTTTTTTCACAGTTTCCAAACAAATGAAGCACCATCCCCTTTACCCAAACAGCGGGGTGAACACAGAGTCTTTATTTCTGGCCCGACTTCCCAAGCAGCTATTCTGGTCAAGGCATTTACGTCCCTTGTTAACTTTGGTGTGGTATAAACCTGCAGTTCATTTCCTCTCACTTTGAAAAAGGAGGATTTTTTCTTCTTTGTGTTCTCTCTATTTATATTATGAAACAGACTGAGAATCAGATGTGTTTTCTCTAGGTTTCTCAGCAAGTATTAGTGGGATTTTTTTTCCTCCTAAAAACTACCTTAGGTAAAAGACAGGTATATAGACAAACTGGGACAGAAAAGCAATTAGCTCTTTATCAAATGAGAATAATTGTCTTCCTTGTGGCATATTACACATATTCAATACATGTTGGCTTAGTGAAGTTTTAAAAGATAAAAAGAATAAAAAGTGAATAACAAATTAAAGACAAAAAAAACAAGTACTATAAGGAAAGGTTGAGGGAATTTGGATTATTTTTCAGGGAAAAAGAAGGCTAAGAGACCACGCTGTCTTCAAGCTGAACCTGTATTCCTCCATCTGATGAGAGACACAACATTAGAAGATTATTTAACACTGCTACTTATTTGTCCACTCTTTGTCCCACATCCTTACTTTGTTAGAGGAGAATGAAAATCACTGTAGCAATGGAGGAAAGTTTCAGGAAAAATAAATTGCTCATAATCTCACCACTTAGGAGCTCCTAACCCTTATAAACTGAATCTACTATAAATCTCTCTCTCTCTCTAACTCTCTCTCCCTGTCAGCTCACACTGTAAATTGGGAATTGCGTTAAACTCAACATTTTTTAAAATAAGTACTACCAAAAAAAATGGAATTCAAAATTATTTCAATCAGTCAAGATATACAGTCCTAGAACCTGGTCGTCAGACTAGAACCCCCTGGCTCACCCAGTGCCTCCTGCGCAGAGCAGGACTGTCTTCAGGGGCATCTCTACCAGAGGCTCATTGAGGATCCAGCTGGACCATTCCAGGGAGATGGCCCTCAAAACTTTGCAAAGTAGCCCATTCCACAGCTTTTCCAAACACTATTCATTCTCTTCTTTCTTCTTTTCCCCATAACTTATATATCGCTCCCTCGCTCTGGACTTCCTCCCCTGTGGAACAAACACAAGAGATGTCCACAAAAGTGGTTGAGCGATACAGGGTGAGGCCTGGTCTGGCACTACTCACAAACTATAGAAAAATTGGTCCATTACACAACAGGCTTTAAAGGGAGCCTTTCCAGAACAGGTGATAGAGGACTGGGGCTCTAGCTGCAACCTACAGACCATTTGAAATGATGTAGTGTTAGGAAAAGATCAGTTGCTTGCGAAGAGAAAGACCAGGTGATGCCACCAATTTGTTACATGATTTTAGCACATTATTTAACTTTGCTGGGTCATCAGGAAAAATGGGGATAGTGTCACAGAATTCTCATGATAAACAACTAACATAAAATGTATGTTTCAAAGAGGTTTGAAAAGCTATACAAATGCAAGGAATTGTGTGGCTATGTTTACAGGCTATATGTTGATCCATTTGTTTGTTTTTTAACAGGGATCTATTTGCGATGATTACCTATGCCTGATGTGTTGCCCTAATTGCACCCTTTGTCAACTCAAGCGAGATATTGATAAAAGACGAGCAATGAATGCTTTCTAAAAGGTGTTTTGGTAAGTTGGTGGGAATTCTTTGATTTATGAGTATTAAAACAAATTCTCAAAGATGTCTTTCATATCCTTGGGACTCTCTCACACAGATACATGAAATATCCCTTAACAAAGGGAGGGCAAATGATTTTTAGTTGCCAGCCTATGCCAGTCTTGGAAGTCAGCTTCCAAGAGCCTGGATTGAGAGGGTTAAGTCTGGTTGAATATGAAAGAATTCTGTGATTTGTTAGGATGACTGCCACAGGTGGAGTGGCTGTGTGATGTACCAAATCAACATGCCACGTGTCAACCATGCCCACCTTAACAACACCGTGATTTCAGGTGGTAGAGATACGTATATAACCAGACATTCATTTCCCTAAGTCTAGATCTCAAGTCCACTGCTACCAACAGTAACCAACTGAGATATTATACTAAGTGTGACTGCGTGATGTACCTAGTTATGTGTTCTTGTCAACACCACAATGTTAAACCAACAATTCATTCTCCAAAGTGGCGGGAAGCTAGTTTAGTCTCCATAAATCACGTGTGGACAATTCACTCAGTTCTCCAAAATTCCCAAAGCCCCACTATAAAGAAGAGTTACTGACTCTTTGGCGGCTGTATTGTCAAACTTGGGCGGCTACTCATTTACCTAGTTTCCTAAGCTCTCCTAGTCACATTTTTAATCTTCTCAATTCTTCCTGTTTCTCTCAGACAAGAGGGCCGTGGCTCACTCAGTCTTGTCTTTCAATCGCTTACTGCCAATCCCAATGGAATTTGTCAGCAAAGTTTAGTTTTCACCTGGAAGTGACTATTCTCTGTAAAACTCCTGTCACCCAAGAGGTCTCTGAGAGTGTTTGATCAGGATGGTGTGTTCATCCGTATGATGGGTGACATTGGTGCCATCTGTCTAAGCGCCACAAGCAGCACATCATGTCCTTTCCATGAGCCACGCTTCAGTACGTTGCATTTTATTACCACGCTGGTGTCCTAGTATTTGTCTTCTGATTGTTTTATAAATGGTTTCCCTCAGTGACTGAAGCACTTTATTCCCTTTCAAGCAGAGTCAAAATGGGGAGTTTTCTTATCATTCTTTTTCCTCTTTACACTCTTCCTCCTGAGAATTTACTGTTGTCTTTCCTCCCAAGCAGTGACGTTCTTTAAACGCCTACGTTACCAACTCGACTCAGAATTTGATGCCAAAGTAGCCCTAAGGGAATTAGAATGTGGCAGTTCACTGGTCTTGTCATCCAGACAATGAAAAAGATTGTTGTGGGTTCTCTGCCTTTTGGATACTCTTACCTTCACACATTCAATGATTTATTGACATTTGGGAACAGAGGTTAACTCTGGCAATCTATGGAGCATTCTATTGGTTCACCCAACCACTTAGCAACAGTACCTGACATATAGTAGGCAGTTATAAATACTGTGGATGAATAAATGATGGTAGCTTTCAAGGAGGAAATATAATGAAGCCCCAACCTAGGAGAATTCTCTGAATCCTAACTGGCGGTTGCGACTCTTCCTGATAGACTGTTCTGAACCAGGGCCATTATTTGACGTAGATTATTAAAATGTGCATCTTGGCAGTAGGGTGGGTGTGGAATGGAAGTTTTGATATTTGGAACAAGATAATGTAAAGAAAGATAGAACTGATAAATCCTAATTCATTCATTCATTTATTCTTTCTCTTTTTTTCTGATTTCTACAGGTCAAATTCACATTTGGTGAAAGACAACACTGGAATGAAATATTGCATCTATTAAGTGCTATCTTACCTCAAATCTTAGAAAGTAATTCAATTAATCATGTGGCTTCAAAAGGCTTCAAAACACTTTTAATTTCCAGTATATTTTGAAAGAAATATATTTCCATTGCTGTTCTCTAAGATGACTACCATTAAAAAAATTAATTTCCTCAACAATTCTTGTGTCTTTATATACTGCTTCATGGAAAATTACAATATGCTTCTTTTTAAAAATGAACCCAAGGTTATCAAATGTCAAAGTTGAATGTGGGTACATGGAGATTCTTCATTCTACTTTTCTACCTTTATATATTGTTATTCTGGATTTTCCCTCCACTGGGAGGCCAGGTGTTACCCTGTGCAGCCCCTCACCCCAGAAAAGTGTGGCTTCCTCCTGTAACTGAGCAAAACGGGGCTTGTTCTGCTCGCCACAATCTGGTGCCAATCAATTGCCAACAAGTCAGTGGTTGAGAAAGGAAAGCTTATACAATTAGCCAGCATAATCGGAAGATGGCGGACTAGTGCCCTAAAGATCCATCTTACAATCATACAGAATCTTGAGACAGTTATATAGGGGAAACGGGCAGGGAAGGAGGGGCGTTAGGGATGGCGACCATCTGATGCGATAAACTTCAAGGTGCCACATTTCTTACTTCTGCCATTCGTGATGGGTACCAACACAGAATTTTTCTCTCTGGAGGTCGTCATGTTTCTGGGGAACTCAGGGAACAAAGTTGTCTTATCACAGCTGGGAGACATACGTAAGCAAAAGTCAGAGAACTAGCAGCTCATGTATTTTGTAAAAGCGAGAGGCGCTTAATCATCTAGGCTACGGGCGGGCTGGAATGTGTTCACCGAGACTAGCGAATCAGGGTCGTAGTTACAATGTTGCTTCCTCCCTCCAAGATAGCTTCCCTCACGTAAACTTAAGACCTAGCTGTTACACTCCCTTTGGGAGACTGAAGTGCATTTGGCGCTTCTTTACAGCCCCATAAAGTAAACCCACTCCAGGAAGTATTTGCTGAGCAATACACAGTTTACCATAGATTATACAGACAAAAGAGAGGATTCCTGTCATAAACCACACAGCAAACTACCTAATTAAAACTCCCGTTGGACATTTCTGTCCACCCAAAGTCAACTCCTGCAGCAAGCCAGCCACAAGGGCTCCACGTACCTTTCTCCCCAACCCCCCGCCCCGTTAATGTGGCATTTTATTTTATTTTTTTATTGAGATATAATTGACATATAATGTATTAGTTTTAGGTGTACAATATAATGATTTGGTATGCATGTATGTGTGTGTATATATATACTGCAAAATGATCACCACAATAAGTCTAGTTAACATCCATCACCACACATAGTTATAGTTTTTTTTCTTATCATGAGAACTTTTAAGAGTTACTCTCTTAGCAACTTGCAGATATGCAATACAGTATTAACTAAAGTTGCCATGCTGTGCATTACATCCCCAGAGTGGAATTTATAACTGGAAGTTTGTATCTTTTGACCCATTTCACTCACCCCCCAGCCCCCACCTCTGGCAACCACGTATCTGTTCTCTGAATCTGTAAGTTTGGTTTTTGGATTTTTTCAGATGCCATGTATAAGTGAGATCATACAGCATTTGTCTTTCTCTGTCTGACTTATTTCACTTGGCATAATGCCCTCAAGGTCCATCCCTGTTGGCACAAATGGCAGGATTTCCTTTTTTATGGCTAAATAATATTTCACCACATAATATTTTATGGCTAAATAATATATATCTATACCACACTTCCTCTCTCCATTCATCTGTCAGTGGACTCTGAGGCTGTTTCCGCGTCTTGGCTGCTGTAAATAATGCTGCAATGAACGTGGGGTGCAGTCTACATACCTCCCCTATGCAGAACCATCTAGTGCCACCGCAGCTTTCTAGTCCCAGGAACTACAGCCCCAAAGGCGCAGGATAAGGGTGGAATTCTGCTGTTAAGCAAAATAATATGTTTTCCATATAGCTGATTAGAAAATTACAACCCACTTTATATATGTTTGTACGTAAAAGTTACGATAACTAAGGAGGTTTTTAAAAGAATCTTTGATCTAGCTGAAAATAGTTAATATTTAGTCTCATTCTCCCACTCTTGATATTGTGCGTTATCCTGTGCATTCCAAATGCCGAAGGCTCCCTCATACCAGGCTGCTTCCCTCAGTTAAATCAAAACCCTCCTTAAATGCTACTGCACGCAAGAAGTAAATTGCCGGAGCCAAGAAGCAGCAATTCCTGGGAGGAAGTTGGGGCGGGGGAGGGGAGACACGTAAAAGCTTTGCAAACTAGGGGCTGGCCCCGTGGCGGAGCAGTTAAGTTCGCGCGCTCCGCTGCAGGCGGCCCAGTGTTTCGTTGGTTCGAATCCTGGGCGCGGACATGACACTGCTCATCAAACCACGCTGAGTCAGCGTCCCACATGCCACAACTAGAAGGACCCACAACGAAGAGTATACAACTATGTACCGGGGGGCTTTGGGGAGAAAAAGGAAAAAATAAATCTTTAAAAAAAAAAAAAAAAAAAAGCTTTGCAAACTGACACAGCAAAGAAGAGCAGAAGAGAACTCCTCTCACTTTTCCAGGGTGTGGAAAGGTTATCCATACAGCCCACCTCCCATGGATGCCGTTCAAAGTTAGCTGTTGCTGCTTAGTGGCTTAAACGACAACAGTCATGTCTTCCGCACAGGAGTCTACAATTTGGGCAGGACATCCCGTCTGCTCTTGCGACGTGAACTGGGGTGGCTCAACTCAGGCTGGAGGATAGCCTTTCAAGATGATTCACTCACACGGCTAAGAGTGCTGCCTCTTGGCCGGGGGTTCAGCCAGGGTTTGAGCCCGGGGGCCTGGGTTCCTCTCCACACTAGCCACACCATAGGCTGCTTGGACCGCCTCACAGTATGGTTGCCGGCGTTCAGGGCAAGTCTCTCAAGGGAACAATATGGAAGCGCATGACATTTTTATGATCTAGCTGCCAAAGTCACATAGCATCCCCTCTGCTGGACTCTCGGTGAGGCAGTTGCAAATTCCACCCAGCTTCAGGAGGGAGGGACCAGAGACTAACTCTTAACGGGGTGTGGCAAGTGCTGGAAGAGCAGGGGGACAGGAGGTACTGTTCCAGCCGTCTTTGGGAAACACAATCTGCCACAGACGCCATGAGGTGCTCTGTCTTGAGTCTCTTGGGATTAGAGCTGTTCTCCATAAAGTCCCTCTGGGAGGGCTGCAGCAGGTGATTATAAATTCTGTAATTCAAGCTAAGTCTTTCCGGTGACTTTGATAAGGTTTCCAGAGCATAAGTGTGGTTGAAGCTTGTAACAATAGCCTATTCCTCCAGAGACTCTGATTCAGATCTGTGGGGAGATCCAGGAGTCTGGATTTTAAAGTGGACCACACATGTTTCTGACGCAGGTTTCCCCAGCTGTGAGACCAGTGCTTTTCCCTCTGGGTACAAACTGAAGGAGCTCTGGTGCAATCACTCAGATATGACCACACTTACAGGGCTGGGGGTGGAGTTCTGACCCGGGGTACCCTGTCCTCTCCCTTCCCCTTCCTCTCCACTTTATTTTTCTTTTTCCATTTATGCTCTGACACCTGCATTCTGGCAACCTGATTCTCTGTAGGGACACAGCCTTGATTCTCCCCTAGAAGTGGGGGCCGGCCCAGTGGCTCAGTGGTTAAGTTTGCACATTCCACTTTGGCAGCCCAGGGTTTGCTGGTTTGGATCCCAGTATGGACCTGTCAAGCCATGCTGTGGTGGTGTCCCACATACAAAGTAGAGGAAGTTGGGCACAGATGTTAGCTCAGGGCCAGTCTTCCTCAGCAAAAAAAAAAAAAAAAAAAAAAAAAACAGGAGGCTTGGCAGCAGATGTTAGCTCAGGGCTAATCTTCCTCAAAAAAAAAAAAAAAAGAATATCTTAGGAGCAGGGCATATCACAACATAAGGGGTAACTCTTTGCATTTCCCATAATCTCAGTCTCCTGTTAGTCAGTCTAATTTTCTCCACCCCCTACACACAATGTCAAGGTTTCCACAGGCCATTTATTCTATAGTAGCTCCTCTCTGCTCTGGATTTTTGGGGAGACTGGGGAAGGTGGTGTTGCAGCATCCTCCTAGTGCAGAATGCCCCTCATCCTCTGAACTGGAGTGACTGTTGAGGTCACCTTAGAGTTTGATGAACTCCTCCCTCCCCCTCCCTGGCACGCCCCCACCATCCCACCCTGCCACCTTGTCTTTATTCAGTTTCTTCTGTCTCCGGCTTTTGTGCAACACCTACCTCCAAGGTAGTAGATAAATTCCATTCTGCCACGAATTTCCATGCAGCAGCAGGTTCTAAATCTGCTACTAGCATTTTTTTTTTTTTTTGAGGAAGATTAGCCCTGAGCTAACATCTGCTGCCAAGCCTCCTCTTTTTGCTGAGGAAGACTGGCCCTGAGCTAACACCCGTGCCCATCTTCCTCTACTTTATATGCGGGACGCCTACCACAGCATGGCGTGCCACGCGGTGCCATGTCCGCACCCAGGATCTGAACTGGTAAACCCCGGGCCACCGAAGTCGAATGTTCGCACTTAACCGTTGCGCAATTGGGCTGGCCCCTAGCATATTTTTTTCAATTTCTTTTTGATAAAGTAGACATAACATACAATTTACCATTTTTAAGTGTACAGTTCAGGGGTATTAAGTACATTCAGATTGTTGTGCAACCATCACCATCATCCATCTCCAGAACTCTTTTCATCTTGGAAAACTGAAACTCTGTACCCATTAAACACTAACTCCCCATTTCCGTGTCCCCCAGCCCCTGGCAGCTACTGTTCTACTTTTTGTCTCTATGATTTTGACTACTCTAAGTGCCTCACATAAGTGGAATCATACAATGTTTGTCTTTTTGTGATTGGCTTATGCCTCAGCATAATGTCTTCAAGATTCATTCATGTCTTACACATGCCAAAATTTCTTCTTTTTTAAGGCTGAATAATATTTCACTGTACATATAGACCACATTTTGTTTCTCCATTCGTCTGTCACTAGACACTTGGGTTGCTTCCACTTTCTAGCTATTGTGAATAATGCTGCTGTGAACATGGGTGTCTAAACGTCTCTTCGAGATCCTGCTTTCAATTCTTCGGGGTCTACACCCAGAGGAGGAATTGC